ATTGCTTTGGAATATGCACTGCGTTGCGACTGTAGTACTAAGAAAACAGTTAAATTTTAAAAGCGCGGTTATAAGATCTAACAGATCTTCTTGTTGTCTTACATGAAGTGTCAAACTTGAACTTCATACGTTATATATCAAGTGACGAAGTTTAGGTCATGCTGAGTTTTCAAATAGTATTAAGTATGTCATTGAGTGCAAAAGGACATTCTGCATCACTTGTTCTGCACCTTTTGAGAACCAATGACGTGTAGAAATCACTAATTCCTGAAAGTATGTGGCAGCCTTAAACACCTTCAACCTATAAATGCTATATCATGGAACTACAGTACACTGTAGTTAGGTTAAAAACTTGAATACCCAAGAAAGACAAAATGTTAGTTTGCAAAAATGATGTGTGATTGTAAAGAATTATATTCAGTTGTTCTACATGTAAGTATGCACACTGTACATATCATAACTTTCAAATTATATAATTTATAATAAGTGCCTTACTGTGGTTTCTATTCTCTTGTCAATAGCGCAAGCTCTCTGCACGTTCTGATCGAGTCAAGTGTGTGGATGTTCACCCAACGGAACCATGGATGTTAGCTAGTTTATACAACGGTAATGTACATGTGTGGAATTATGAATCGCAGACATTGGTCAAGACATTTGAAGTCACTGATCTACCAGGTATGGTTTTGTTGGCAGTTTTTGCTACACAAGTTTTAAGTATATAATATCAAAGCAGTTAGAGGAGTACTCATCAAGTACAGTGTATTCAATTTCAATTGCGCACTGATTGCTTGACAAATAGGCATGTGGAGAACTACAATTCAGAATTTTGTGGTAGGTACCATTACGAAAATTATCCAAATATTGACGTGGATCTCACCAGACATGGTCAAACTTTGATTGAGTGTACCATGTACATAGCTTTGCATTTGATTTAGGAGGTAAATTTATATAACTTTGATTAAAAGTACAATAATATAACCAATATTGAAACATTCAACTGATTCAGTTTCTTATTGTATGCATTATTTATTGTAGTGCGTACAGCCAAATTTGTACCAAGAAAGAACTGGGTGGTGACAGGATCTGTAAGTTTATGTGTGATTCTGTTTTAATTGTATACTTAATATCATGCACTAATATTCAAGTACATGTACTGTACTTCCACTCAGTATTGGTTGAATTTGGTGCTTGACAGTTGGAAAAGTAAACTAACTTATGTAGCTCTGCATTTCTTCGTTTGCATGTACAGTAAAATTCTTACTTGCATTTTGTATGTCTTTGAAAAATTAGATTTATTGAAGTGTACATGTAGGTCCTAACAAGTTCTTGAATTTGGTCCAAAAATGCTGTGAACCTTGGGTGAAACATACATTACGTAACCCAGCCTATGTAGTACTCTGAGCATGATTGTGTGAATTGCTTTTTAGGATGACATGATGCTAAGAGTCTTCAACTACAACACTCTAGAGAAGGTAAAGACATTTCTTTTGTGCGTGGTGATAGAGCATTTTTCAAAAAGCAGCATTTACTGAAAAACTTGCAGAAAAGCCAGGGGCTGTGTATGTTATGTCTCAGGGTATATAATTATGTATGTGTATATACATTGTAGTTATGAATGTGCGTATGTCTGTATGCCTTTCAGTGAAGTGAGACAAATGACTGGCAAAATTTTAAGTAAATTTTTTTTGTTGCATTCAATTTGATGTGTTGCCATGCCACCTTTCCTGTTCATCTCTGTGTCACAGAGTTTCTATCAGAGAAAATGGGATCAGAGTATTTAAGGATTTCAGAAATTTCTTCAGGGCATGGTACATTTTTTGTTCAACCTGTTTAGTCCATGTAAACTTTGACATTTTTGTTGTTTCTTTAACAGGCATATGGATTTGAAGCTCATTCAGATTACTTGCGTTCAATTGCTGTTCATCCAACTCAGCCCTATGTTCTTACCAGCAGCGGTGAGTAAAACAAAAGCAATGAATTTTTAATGGTCTGATGGACTGCGAATGATCAAATTGAATTTGTGTTCTGCACTCCTTTTTGCCTTGTCACTACAACAAATGTGTGTTTTCTACCTTTTCGCTGCATATTTCAATTTATTACATACAAAGTCTGCTCAATCAATGCTTTTGTGTTTCCCTGCTATCAATCATATTAGCAGACCTCTCAGGAAACAAAAGTTTACTTTAGTAGATTCAAAAGGTCTTGTGTGGGTTGTGATTGGTAAATTTCGATCCATTTTTGTTTGTTTGTTTTTTTCAGGGTTAATAGCTTGTTGTTATAATCACGATTGACCATAACGGAAAACATAGTCATTTGTTAGGTTTTGAACTTCAGATTGTCATTGAATGATGCAGTAAACTGTTGAGATTTTGTCAACTTAAATGTAATATTTGTATTGTGCCAAGAGAAATATTAAGTGTACTTGTAGCTTCAATTAAAATTGCATTACAGCTGTTGTAATCTTATTTTTGTAATTGGTCTTTCTGCAGATGATATGTTGATCAAACTATGGGACTGGGATAAAAAATGGCAGTGTACTCAAGTGTTTGAGGGCCACACCCATTATGTGATGCAAATTGTCATCAATCCAAAGGATAACAACCAGTTTGCTAGTGCTTCCTTAGACAGAACAATCAAGGTAAAGTGTAACCTGTGTATAGTACTGAGCTAGTCAGAATTACAATGTACATTCACAATTTGTAATGTACACATGGTTGTCTAAAAAAGCCAGCTGCCAGCAAAATCACCATCAGAGGCACACTATTCTGCTAAGCTACATGTAGATGTCTGATAATTTTGATTATTTGAGGAAGTTTATTAGTTTTTAGCCAGTGTTATCCTCACTAAATAAAGTGTCTACTCATTATAACAACACTGTGTTCAATTGACTAAGATCCTTTTACAGTAAGGAAGAAAACAAAAGGCATTGTATACATGACTTGTACATCTGTTCGTGTAGGTCTGCTCACAAAAATGTTTCTCCTTAATGCGCTGTGTTGTAGATAAACTTTGTAGTGTAATGGTCCTGCTCTACATGTACCTTCTGTGTATTACATTGTGTCATCTGTACTGAGCCACAATTTCAACCATACTGGGTATACATACATGTATTATGTGCAAGGTACTAGGCAGGGTTTGAAATGATGACCAGAATTTCAAGGCTGGTTGCCAGGAGGTGACTGACTTTTGACATCTTGTGCATGTTTTGAACCTGCGCAAGGAATTAATTTCCTTTAATTTGTTTAGTAAAAGTTTAAATGTTTAGACCCCGCTTGGGGCCCACATATGAGAAGTTAATTTGAGATAATGCTTGGCCAGCCCCCCCTGAGCTACAACACCATTACAGTTGTACATGAAAATTTGACTGTTTTACATGTACCATCTTGAAAATTAATTTACATTTCCTTTTCAGGTGTGGCAGCTTGGATCCAACACTCCTAACTTCACTCTAGAAGGACATGAAAAGGTATATACAGTATACAGGTCTATGTGCTTAATTAATGGGACATTAAGTAAACTTTTTATTAATTTTAATATTATAATTTCCAATGTATGTACATGTATTTTGTAAAATATCTGTAATATTGTGTCAAGTGAACAGTGCTAAATGACCTTGCATGTATATACATGTTTATATAATAATATTTATTATGGTTACTCAAAGTGTGTCTTGTTATCATTGTATTGCAGGGTGTAAATTGTGTGGATTATTTCCATGGTGGTGAGAAGCCATATCTTATATCTGGTGCTGATGATAGACTGGTAAAGATATGGGACTATCAGGTTTGTTTTTATGTTTAATTAGTTTTTTTTTTTTTTTTTTTTATAATTACCTCTTGCTTTCATTTTGAGGCCCGTTGTCGGCCCGTGGGCATTACGGGAGAAAAATGTCCNATTGGTTGTTGGTTATGTTCCAGAACAAAACTTGTGTGCAAACACTTGAAGGTCATGCCCAGAACATCTCCTGTGTTGGATTTCACCCAGAATTGCCCATAATTTTGACTGGTTCAGAGGATGGTATGTAAAAAAGCTCCTGGTATTTTGACACAGATTATTTTACAGTGGTGGCAGTAAAAATATAATACCTATACATGTTCTTTCAAGACCATGTTGCCACAAAGAATCAATAATATACTCGACGATGATCGCTAAATTTGGCTGCAAGATAATGTGGAGTTGTTTTCACTGACTAGTGGAAATAATATGTGTAACATGAACATGTGCTCATGTACTGTAGTATATTGTCTGTGCTTTGGTTTTGTGTTTGTTTTATGAAACTGCATATAAGTTTTTCAAAATACATGGACCTGTACAACTTCAGCATACACGTTTAGAGAGTAACTATTTCATGGGTACATGTACATGTACATGTAGCTTCACAAGCAGGCAAGATGAACCAAATCGTTTACTGTGACTGGCTACCTGGGAGGGCAAGATACATGTAGGGCTCTTTTGCATGCTCAGGATCACCTGCTATGTTCCAAAGCTGAAAGCTTGTGTTTTTAATCTTTCAACCAGAGAACATTTTTACTTTTTGATATTATGTCTCATCGTTTTTGGAGACAAAAACAAAAGAAAAAGATGCCTTGGATAGTTAAAACTGATCAGAGCTGTTTTTTCCCTCTTTTTTTGCTTTTCCAAAATATTGAACAATCAAAAACAGTCAAAGCAAATTACGTTTTAATGCAATGATTCATTTGAGCAGTGCATGTATTTGTTCAGAAGAATGTACATGTAACTATCAGATAATTATTATATTCTGTCTGGTAATTGATGCTTAAATTGTTACATGTAATTACCTGATTCTACTGTTTATTGCACCCTTTAGGCACTGTACGCATTTGGCAAGCAAACACTTACCGACTGGAGAGCACCCTGAATTATGGTCTTGAGAGGGTTTGGAGTATGGCCATGTTCAAGGGGTCAAACAATGTTGCCCTTGGATATGATGAAGGAAGTATTCTTATCAAGGTTTGTCAACTGTGTTGCCTTTAAAATTATATACTTTTATCTCAGTATTTGTGGCTTAAATTGCCACTTCATCCATATTGGTGTTGACTGAACATGTAACTTATCCTTTAGCTTGGACGGGAAGAGCCAGCCATGTCCATGGATTCCAATGGTAAAATTATTTTTGCCAAGCACAGCGAAATTCAACAGGCTAATCTTAAAAATGTGGCTGGTAAGTGTAAACATGGGTCTTATGTACAGTAAAATGCAATAATTTGTTCGTGACAGTCAGGTGCTGTTCATGTTCACAACTGTACATGTGTGTTTATTCAGTTGTGTCTACAGAGAGAATTCAAATTTATGGTACATGAATAATCAGTGATGAACATACAGTGTCTTTGTGTTATTGTTTATTTTTACATGTATACACATTGTTCCTGTTCATGTCCATGGTATTACAAATCTGCTTATAGTGTTTACTGATATTTTTAAAATTAGATTATGATGTTAAAGATGGTGAGCGCCTGCCTCTGGCCATCAAAGACATGGGACCTTGTGAGATGTTTCCTCAAACCTTGTCTCATAATCCAAATGGAAGGTATGGATGACTTCTGATTTTGGGAAAGACATGAAGTTTTGTACATGTAGACCCTGTTTGCTTTGGAACATGTGAAAAATCCCAAAAATCACAAGGCTTTGTGTACATGTATATTCAGGCCTGTGACAACAAGTTGTTAAAAATGGCTGGTAATCTGGAGCCACCATCTCTATTAAAGTTAGACATTGGTGTCTGATGTGACACTATAGCTGTAGGTGTCTGATACACTGTAATGTCCACAATCCCATTGTCAAGGATTTTGACCCCCTCCCAGTCATGTGGTTGGAGTTGGACTGGTGTACCCAGATTGCAGAGCCCAGTTAGGGCCTTGGAGAGGAGACTGAGTAATAATAATTATTAATAATACTGGTATTAAGATTTATAAAGGGCCATTTCCCAATGGTTCAATGGCTTTTTACAATAAATCAGTTAAATCCATAAAAAAAAATACCCAGTAGACAAACATAGTCTTAGCTGTAAATTTTGTTTATTGTGACTTTCAAAATATAGCCATCTTTTGAAGTTTAATTTGTCTCTTTTGGCAGGTTTGTGGTTGTTTGTGGGGATGGAGAGTACATCATTTACACAGCTATGGCACTGAGGAACAAGAGTTTTGGATCAGCTCAGGAATTTGTTTGGGCCTCTGATTCCTCTGAGTATGTACTGTACATGCACATGTACTGTGTGACTACTGTTTGTAGCAAACTGTAAAGTGATGAAAGGGCACTAGATAATCTACTTCCGCAAAACACTTTGCACTCTTAATGTAGTTGTACACGTATCCACTGTATTTCAGTGTATACAGTACAATCGACAGACCACTTTGACTAGTTGTGGTATGTTTATTTCACTTTTGTACTCCTTTGTGTCAGATAGGTTCAACAAGGCATTTTCATTTTGTAAATGCAGTTACATGTAGCTACAATACGTGAAGATCTAGATTGTGAAACAACTGGTATGCTTATTTATGTCTTTGTTAATCCATGTGTCTTTGTTCTCGTCTCATCCAGATATGCAATAAGGGATGGAAACAAAATCAAGATCTTCAAGAATTTTAAAGAAAGGAAATCTTTCAAGCCTGAGTATGGGGCAGAAAGTGAGTACCAAGACAGTATCTCTGTCAGACCTATCCATCCATCAATCTGCCATGATATACACCCCTGTAAATTGTACATCAAGTTTGTCTAAAGAAAAGCCAAAAAAAAAATTACTAAAACAAACAAAAGAAAAACAGTTACATATACATCTTGAAAGTTAGCAGACAAGGTTTCTAGCATGACAAGGATGTACATGTGCAGGTTGTAGTGAGAACTATTGTGCAATATGCAGTGTATAGAAACTGGAAACTCTAAGGATACATGTGTAGTAGGCTAGCTGTAGTATCTGAGGTTAGTAGACTAGTAGCTTAAGTAGTGTTTGTTAAATGCTAGCGAAATGTAGTTTTGTTGAGATGTGAATGCCCTTGCACACATACAGGTACAGTTATGCTTTGATTAAGCTTTATTTGTCTTTTTTCTCAGATATCTATGGTGGTCATCTTCTTGGAGTGAAGTCTGTTAGTGGGCTGGCTTTCTTTGACTGGGAGAGCACAGATCTAGTCCGTAGGATTGAAATTCAGCCTAAGAGTGTAAGTTGTCTAATTCAAACTGCAAATCATACAAATTCTGTGAAAGCAAAGTATGCCCATTGCATAACTGCATTTAAGTAGAAACTTTTCAGTGAGTGATTTTCATTTGAGTGTTAATAACTAATTGGTTTTGCATCATCTATGCTACATGATTGGCCTAAAAAACTCACACCACTTTTTCATCCAATCAGAAGTAAAACCATAACCAATTGCGACTCGCTTGCCCTCGTATTCTTGCGCTTTGCATCAGCTACAGGTAATTACCTTCAGTTTTGATTGGTTCACTGGATTTTCTATGACCTTTGTGATTGGCTAGAGTGGTTACTTTGGTTTTGGTTTTACGCCACTCAGTTGAAAGCTGCATACATGCATGCATACTGCATACATACTGCTGTATGGGCAGTGTAATATTAGTTCATACCATGTATGCTACATGTAAATGAGAAGTAATATATCAAACATGAGAGACAGTGTTTCATTGGGTTATCCAAACACTGAGAAGGGAATTGAAAATAGGACCTGCAGCGGAGTATTTTTGATGAAATTCGAGGTGTTCGGATAGCTGATGAAACACTGTCTCGAGTGTTTGATATATTATCTTCTCAATCGAAACAAAAACTATGGAGTAAATGGAGAAGTAAAATTGTCAAAATCTATTCTAATTAAAACACGGTATCCAAACCTCCTTCATGGTTGTGTTTTTCTTTGCTTTAATTTGATGAATTATTAATGAGTTTGAGAAGTGTAATATGAACTCTTTCCTCTTTCCATGATTACAGATCTACTGGGCTGATAGTGGTGAGCTATGCTGTATAGCAACAGATGAGTCATTCTTTATTCTCAAGTATAGTGCTGAAAATGTTGCTAAAGCACAGGAAACACCAGAGGTCATGACTGAAGATGGCATCGAAGATGCTTTTGATGTAAGATTACCGTAATTTTTGTGCATCTACAATGTAAATGGTGCATGCTAGTTATTCAGTTCTTTAAGTGGCACAATAGTGTGGTACACATAAAGCAAGGCTGCAAATAATTATTGGCTATAGGCAGGGGTTTCATTAAGGGCCGGCACCGGGCAAGTTGACCGACTGTGAGAATGATTTTGCCCACCTGGTTTAACCATTTACAGGTAGAGGAAAGTTTTTCTTAAAATGAAGTTCAGTTCAAAAAGTTTTACCTGCCTGAGAACCCCAGTTGCACTTCTGCTGAAAATGTTAATGAAACCCCTACTATACAGTATAGGTACATGTAGGTCATTTAGATAGTAAACATCAAGTCCCTGGAGCATTGCAGATACATGCAAGCCCTAATCCTTCTTTAAAAATCTTTATTTATCACGGGGCCAAACTACATCAAGGAATTGTTCTCATTGCGTTCTAGCAGTTATGACGTAAGAGGCTATTGTAAGCTTAATCAGCCTACCTTTAAATCAAAGTATTTGCATAAATCTTATCGCTACATAACTTCATGTTTATGGAACAACCTACCTGACACTATAAGAGGAGTGTCCTCTCTTAGAATTTTTAAAAACTTACTGAACAATGTTAACCTGACTACGGAGGCCAATTGTGGCTGTAATCTTTGTATCTATTAGTTTACATATTTAAATTTTTGTAGTCTAGTTAAATTTTATAGTTTAGTTTTTCAATTTTAAATTTTATAGTCTAGTTTTTGTACTTTTATTGAATAGATACTGTAACATTTTTAAATTTTAAATTTTAATTTTAGGATACACGTTCACATTAAAATGAGCCCCAGGCTCACTGGTGAAATGTGTCTAATTAAAGTACTTACTTACTTACTTACTTATTTGTCATGCCATGCATGTTCAATAATATACATTGTACTGTACATGTTAGTTATTCAATTTGATTATCTAACAATAATTATTATTCCATGAGCGTGCATTGGATATGAGACAGTAGATAGACAACAAGGCCTGTAGCACCAAGGTGGCTATATTCATCTCATAACCAACAAGTGCTATTGGAATAATTGTTGTTATTAAAATGCCCCCAAAATATAGGAAACTAGAGTAAAATAAAATAAAAACACACCAAAAATTTACACCTATGCTCACCATATTTGTGGAGAATGGTGTAACTGCTCAAATACCATCATGACTAAACCAATGAAAACTATTGAAATGTCTTATCCAATGTTCAAGTGTTTAATAATAAGAGTTAAATGTGGTACACATAATCAAATGGTAAAATATTCTGTCAGTGGCTTGATTTTTTTACAACAAGAAAATTGAGTTATACAGTGTAAGTGGGATCATGATAGTGAATAGTCTGTTTTGCATTAGTACAGCAATGTATGTGGGTTATAGTTGTGATGTCAATGAAGAATGTTTCTCCTTGTGCATATTAGGTTTGTGGGGAAATAGAAGACTGTGTCAAGACTGGCATTTGGGTTGGAGACTGTTTTATCTACACTAATGCTGTGAACCGTCTCAACTATTACGTTGGAGGTGAAATTGTTACCATTGCTCATCTAGACAGGTTTGTGGTCCATTTATAAAATTTGTCATCTGTGCATGCATTTTCCCATATTATAGTGTATTATTTCCGGGCTATAAGGTTTTGGACACTTTAATAAAGTTCTCACTCACTCACATTATTTGCACTGTAGTTTGTGTTACATGTATGTGCAATGGCAGTTGCAATTTCTAGATACATGTACATGTATTTGTTGTGAACCATAGCTTCAGTAGATGAATAGGTCAGCTATACTGTTTATAATTAGTTGAACCTATTTTCATAATGAAAGTGCACTCGTGAGTGGAATATGTCAATTGAACTGGCTTGATTCCATCACTAACTCCTAAATACAAATGGTGCAGAGAGTAAGTGAAGCTTGTCGCCTTTCAAACCTACATTAATGGTGAAGGAAGTGAATCAAGCTGCTACAGTTATTTTGTACACTAGGTGAGATAGATCACTTAACATTCCAGTTGAACCAACTACAACTAGAAAAGTGTTCAAACAAAACTGCATGCACATGTGTATGGGTTGCAATTAATTGAAATGTTAAGAGGGATAGTTTCAAAGTAATCTATTTTAGTTGACAAAGCTCAGAATCTGAATAGCACAGTATTCACTGCTGTGTTTATTGACTTGGTCTGTTCCTGGTTTGTTTAGGACAATGTACATTCTTGGGTACATCCCCAAAGACAACAGGCTTTACTTGAGTGACAAGGATATGAATGTTGTTGGTTACTCCCTGCTGCTGTCGGTCCTGGAGTACCAGACAGCTGTGATGAGACAAGACTTTGAGACAGCTAAGCAGGTNACCTGCTATGTTCCAAAGCTGAAAGCTTGTGTTTTTAATCTTTCAACCAGAGAACATTTTTACTTTTTGATATTATGTCTCATCGTTTTTGGAGACAAAAACAAAAGAAAAAGATGCCTTGGATAGTTAAAACTGATCAGAGCTGTTTTTTCCCTCTTTTTTTGCTTTTCCAAAATATTGAACAATCAAAAACAGTCAAAGCAAATTACGTTTTAATGCAATGATTCATTTGAGCAGTGCATGTATTTGTTCAGAAGAATGTACATGTAACTATCAGATAATTATTATATTCTGTCTGGTAATTGATGCTTAAATTGTTACATGTAATTACCTGATTCTACTGTTTATTGCACCCTTTAGGCACTGTACGCATTTGGCAAGCAAACACTTACCGACTGGAGAGCACCCTGAATTATGGTCTTGAGAGGGTTTGGAGTATGGCCATGTTCAAGGGGTCAAACAATGTTGCCCTTGGATATGATGAAGGAAGTATTCTTATCAAGGTTTGTCAACTGTGTTGCCTTTAAAATTATATACTTTTATCTCAGTATTTGTGGCTTAAATTGCCACTTCATCCATATTGGTGTTGACTGAACATGTAACTTATCCTTTAGCTTGGACGGGAAGAGCCAGCCATGTCCATGGATTCCAATGGTAAAATTATTTTTGCCAAGCACAGCGAAATTCAACAGGCTAATCTTAAAAATGTGGCTGGTAAGTGTAAACATGGGTCTTATGTACAGTAAAATGCAATAATTTGTTCGTGACAGTCAGGTGCTGTTCATGTTCACAACTGTACATGTGTGTTTATTCAGTTGTGTCTACAGAGAGAATTCAAATTTATGGTACATGAATAATCAGTGATGAACATACAGTGTCTTTGTGTTATTGTTTATTTTTACATGTATACACATTGTTCCTGTTCATGTCCATGGTATTACAAATCTGCTTATAGTGTTTACTGATATTTTTAAAATTAGATTATGATGTTAAAGATGGTGAGCGCCTGCCTCTGGCCATCAAAGACATGGGACCTTGTGAGATGTTTCCTCAAACCTTGTCTCATAATCCAAATGGAAGGTATGGATGACTTCTGATTTTGGGAAAGACATGAAGTTTTGTACATGTAGACCCTGTTTGCTTTGGAACATGTGAAAAATCCCAAAAATCACAAGGCTTTGTGTACATGTATATTCAGGCCTGTGACAACAAGTTGTTAAAAATGGCTGGTAATCTGGAGCCACCATCTCTATTAAAGTTAGACATTGGTGTCTGATGTGACACTATAGCTGTAGGTGTCTGATACACTGTAATGTCCACAATCCCATTGTCAAGGATTTTGACCCCCTCCCAGTCATGTGGTTGGAGTTGGACTGGTGTACCCAGATTGCAGAGCCCAGTTAGGGCCTTGGAGAGGAGACTGAGTAATAATAATTATTAATAATACTGGTATTAAGATTTATAAAGGGCCATTTCCCAATGGTTCAATGGCTTTTTACAATAAATCAGTTAAATCCATAAAAAAAAATACCCAGTAGACAAACATAGTCTTAGCTGTAAATTTTGTTTATTGTGACTTTCAAAATATAGCCATCTTTTGAAGTTTAATTTGTCTCTTTTGGCAGGTTTGTGGTTGTTTGTGGGGATGGAGAGTACATCATTTACACAGCTATGGCACTGAGGAACAAGAGTTTTGGATCAGCTCAGGAATTTGTTTGGGCCTCTGATTCCTCTGAGTATGTACTGTACATGCACATGTACTGTGTGACTACTGTTTGTAGCAAACTGTAAAGTGATGAAAGGGCACTAGATAATCTACTTCCGCAAAACACTTTGCACTCTTAATGTAGTTGTACACGTATCCACTGTATTTCAGTGTATACAGTACAATCGACAGACCACTTTGACTAGTTGTGGTATGTTTATTTCACTTTTGTACTCCTTTGTGTCAGATAGGTTCAACAAGGCATTTTCATTTTGTAAATGCAGTTACATGTAGCTACAATACGTGAAGATCTAGATTGTGAAACAACTGGTATGCTTATTTATGTCTTTGTTAATCCATGTGTCTTTGTTCTCGTCTCATCCAGATATGCAATAAGGGATGGAAACAAAATCAAGATCTTCAAGAATTTTAAAGAAAGGAAATCTTTCAAGCCTGAGTATGGGGCAGAAAGTGAGTACCAAGACAGTATCTCTGTCAGACCTATCCATCCATCAATCTGCCATGATATACACCCCTGTAAATTGTACATCAAGTTTGTCTAAAGAAAAGCCAAAAAAAAAATTACTAAAACAAACAAAAGAAAAACAGTTACATATACATCTTGAAAGTTAGCAGACAAGGTTTCTAGCATGACAAGGATGTACATGTGCAGGTTGTAGTGAGAACTATTGTGCAATATGCAGTGTATAGAAACTGGAAACTCTAAGGATACATGTGTAGTAGGCTAGCTGTAGTATCTGAGGTTAGTAGACTAGTAGCTTAAGTAGTGTTTGTTAAATGCTAGCGAAATGTAGTTTTGTTGAGATGTGAATGCCCTTGCACACATACAGGTACAGTTATGCTTTGATTAAGCTTTATTTGTCTTTTTTCTCAGATATCTATGGTGGTCATCTTCTTGGAGTGAAGTCTGTTAGTGGGCTGGCTTTCTTTGACTGGGAGAGCACAGATCTAGTCCGTAGGATTGAAATTCAGCCTAAGAGTGTAAGTTGTCTAATTCAAACTGCAAATCATACAAATTCTGTGAAAGCAAAGTATGCCCATTGCATAACTGCATTTAAGTAGAAACTTTTCAGTGAGTGATTTTCATTTGAGTGTTAATAACTAATTGGTTTTGCATCATCTATGCTACATGATTGGCCTAAAAAACTCACACCACTTTTTCATCCAATCAGAAGTAAAACCATAACCAATTGCGACTCGCTTGCCCTCGTATTCTTGCGCTTTGCATCAGCTACAGGTAATTACCTTCAGTTTTGATTGGTTCACTGGATTTTCTATGACCTTTGTGATTGGCTAGAGTGGTTACTTTGGTTTTGGTTTTACGCCACTCAGTTGAAAGCTGCATACATGCATGCATACTGCATACATACTGCTGTATGGGCAGTGTAATATTAGTTCATACCATGTATGCTACATGTAAATGAGAAGTAATATATCAAACATGAGAGACAGTGTTTCATTGGGTTATCCAAACACTGAGAAGGGAATTGAAAATAGGACCTGCAGCGGAGTATTTTTGATGAAATTCGAGGTGTTCGGATAGCTGATGAAACACTGTCTCGAGTGTTTGATATATTATCTTCTCAATCGAAACAAAAACTATGGAGTAAATGGAGAAGTAAAATTGTCAAAATCTATTCTAATTAAAACACGGTATCCAAACCTCCTTCATGGTTGTGTTTTTCTTTGCTTTAATTTGATGAATTATTAATGAGTTTGAGAAGTGTAATATGAACTCTTTCCTCTTTCCATGATTACAGATCTACTGGGCTGATAGTGGTGAGCTATGCTGTATAGCAACAGATGAGTCATTCTTTATTCTCAAGTATAGTGCTGAAAATGTTGCTAAAGCACAGGAAACACCAGAGGTCATGACTGAAGATGGCATCGAAGATGCTTTTGATGTAAGATTACCGTAATTTTTGTGCATCTACAATGTAAATGGTGCATGCTAGTTATTCAGTTCTTTAAGTGGCACAATAGTGTGGTACACATAAAGCAAGGCTGCAAATAATTATTGGCTATAGGCAGGGGTTTCATTAAGGGCCGGCACCGGGCAAGTTGACCGACTGTGAGAATGATTTTGCCCACCTGGTTTAACCATTTACAGGTAGAGGAAAGTTTTTCTTAAAATGAAGTTCAGTTCAAAAAGTTTTACCTGCCTGAGAACCCCAGTTGCACTTCTGCTGAAAATGTTAATGAAACCCCTACTATACAGTATAGGTACATGTAGGTCATTTAGATAGTAAACATCAAGTCCCTGGAGCATTGCAGATACATGCAAGCCCTAATCCTTCTTTAAAAATCTTTATTTATCACGGGGCCAAACTACATCAAGGAATTGTTCTCATTGCGTTCTAGCAGTTATGACGTAAGAGGCTATTGTAAGCTTAATCAGCCTACCTTTAAATCAAAGTATTTGCATAAATCTTATCGCTACATAACTTCATGTTTATGGAACAACCTACCTGACACTATAAGAGGAGTGTCCTCTCTTAGAATTTTTAAAAACTTACTGAACAATGTTAACCTGACTACGGAGGCCAATTGTGGCTGTAATCTTTGTATCTATTAGTTTACATATTTAAATTTTTGTAGTCTAGTTAAATTTTATAGTTTAGTTTTTCAATTTTAAATTTTATAGTCTAGTTTTTGTACTTTTATTGAATAGATACTGTAACATTTTTAAATTTTAAATTTTAATTTTAGGATACACGTTCACATTAAAATGAGCCCCAGGCTCACTGGTGAAATGTGTCTAATTAAAGTACTTACTTACTTACTTACTTATTTGTCATGCCATGCATGTTCAATAATATACATTGTACTGTACATGTTAGTTATTCAATTTGATTATCTAACAATAATTATTATTCCATGAGCGTGCATTGGATATGAGACAGTAGATAGACAACAAGGCCTGTAGCACCAAGGTGGCTATATTCATCTCATAACCAACAAGTGCTATTGGAATAATTGTTGTTATTAAAATGCCCCCAAAATATAGGAAACTAGAGTAAAATAAAATAAAAACACACCAAAAATTTACACCTATGCTCACCATATTTGTGGAGAATGGTGTAACTGCTCAAATACCATCATGACTAAACCAATGAAAACTATTGAAATGTCTTATCCAATGTTCAAGTGTTTAATAATAAGAGTTAAATGTGGTACACATAATCAAATGGTAAAATATTCTGTCAGTGGCTTGATTTTTTTACAACAAGAAAATTGAGTTATACAGTGTAAGTGGGATCATGATAGTGAATAGTCTGTTTTGCATTAGTACAGCAATGTATGTGGGTTATAGTTGTGATGTCAATGAAGAATGTTTCTCCTTGTGCATATTAGGTTTGTGGGGAAATAGAAGACTGTGTCAAGACTGGCATTTGGGTTGGAGACTGTTTTATCTACACTAATGCTGTGAACCGTCTCAACTATTACGTTGGAGGTGAAATTGTTACCATTGCTCATCTAGACAGGTTTGTGGTCCATTTATAAAATTTGTCATCTGTGCATGCATTTTCCCATATTATAGTGTATTATTTCCGGGCTATAAGGTTTTGGACACTTTAATAAAGTTCTCACTCACTCACATTATTTGCACTGTAGTTTGTGTTACATGTATGTGCAATGGCAGTTGCAATTTCTAGATACATGTACATGTATTTGTTGTGAACCATAGCTTCAGTAGATGAATAGGTCAGCTATACTGTTTATAATTAGTTGAACCTATTTTCATAATGAAAGTGCACTCGTGAGTGGAATATGTCAATTGAACTGGCTTGATTCCATCACTAACTCCTAAATACAAATGGTGCAGAGAGTAAGTGAAGCTTGTCGCCTTTCAAACCTACATTAATGGTGAAGGAAGTGAATCAAGCTGCTACAGTTATTTTGTACACTAGGTGAGATAGATCACTTAACATTCCAGTTGAACCAACTACAACTAGAAAAGTGTTCAAACAAAACTGCATGCACATGTGTATGGGTTGCAATTAATTGAAATGTTAAGAGGGATAGTTTCAAAGTAATCTATTTTAGTTGACAAAGCTCAGAATCTGAATAGCACAGTATTCACTGCTGTGTTTATTGACTTGGTCTGTTCCTGGTTTGTTTAGGACAATGTACATTCTTGGGTACATCCCCAAAGACAACAGGCTTTACTTGAGTGACAAGGATATGAATGTTGTTGGTTACTCCCTGCTGCTGTCGGTCCTGGAGTACCAGACAGCTGTGATGAGACAAGACTTTGAGACAGCTAAGCAGGTACATGTACTATAAATGTGTTCCTCATACTTCACTGATGTCTTTGTACATGTATGTCTAGTCTTAAAATTTGATATGAAAGCTGCTGGGCAGTACATGTACTTTCACTGTCACTTTCAGGTCACTCCGTGAATGACACCCTACTGTAGTGCGTGACCATTCAAAATTATGAAAGCTATTGAGCAGTACTTTCATTTATTGTATGGCTACACTGCAGCTTTGTGAGTGGGCAAGATGAGCCCAATCCTGATTGGCTACCTGAGCGGACAAGATGGAGCTATCTTGCCTGCTTGGGACTAGCTGCTGTTTCCTGCAAGAAGAATCTCCCTGAAGTCCATATAATAAATCCTTTATTGATAAAGCTTGTTCTGTCAAGATGGCGGGATATTGGCCTCATTCTTTTTGGCCTCATTTAGCTTTTAGATCTTGACTCTGTCCATTTATAAACACACAGAGTAAGAACTTGGCCAATATCCAGCCATCGTGATCTCACGGTTGGTCAATAACTCATATGTAGAAGACTGTAAGTAGTACAGTTTATTATGCTTTCAAGCTGGTGTTGTTACATTTAAGTCTGTGGTTTAAATTCCTGTGATTGACCAGGTATTAGAAATGAAACCTTTTGTGCAGTACTTACATGTGTCACTGTTATTTCATGCAGGTGCTGCCGACCATTCCTCGAGACCAAAGGAATCGCGTAGCTCACTTCTTAGAGAAGCAAGGCTTCAAGCAACAAGCGCTGGCAGTGTCTTGTGATCCAGAGCACAGGTAGCTACATGTACATTGTGCCCGGGAAGTACATAAATCTTCATCATTAGCATCATGACATTACAAAAAATATATACATCCTACATTTCGAGAGTGTGCAACTCCGGTACCCTGATTCCCGCTTTAAGTTTAAATGGAAAACAGTTGCATATTCGGATACAACAAAAACTGAGTTTCTACCTTAAAGAAAACCAAAAAGCCGTGTTGGAGACATGATGTAGGGTAAAGGTATGCTGAATCACTGAATCAAACTGGATCAAATACATGTAGACCAAGACAACATCTAACTATGCACTTCACAGATCCAGATTTGTTTTCTTCATTTTTAAGGTTCATATGCTGCGGTCGTAAAGTTACATTATGTATGATTGACAGCAGCTCAAAACCCAATCATTAGTTAGGCTTTGAACTTCGGAATGCGCGTGTAAGGAACAGCAACACTTGAAAGCAATTTTCAGCTAACAAGTTTTCTGTTCTTCTCTCGGTAGGTTTGACCTGGCAATACAGTTGTCAGAGCTGAAGATCGCCTACGAGATTGCGTCCAAGTCAGAGGTAACTATAAAAGAATGCCCTTCCCACTCTCCCCTCCCCCCCTCCCCCCAGTTACAACTGATTTCTTGTTTCNAAAAGCCTTGATATATCGAAAGAGGATTTTATCAACAACCACCCAGCCCCCCCCCCCCCCCCCCCCCCCCAGTTACAATTGATTTGTTGTTTCCACTCTCTTTAACTTAAATATATCTTTTCTTGTTTCAGAGTGAACACAAGTGGAAGCAGCTGGCAGAGCTGGCAATCTCCAAGTGTCAGTTTCAGCTGGCTCAAGAGTGTCTGATTAATGCACAGGATTTCGGAGGCTTGCTACTTCTAGCCACATCTGCAGGAGATGCTGACATGATTCTACGACTCGCCGAGACGTCTGCTAAGAAGGGCAAGAACAATGTGGCCTTTTTGGCTTATTTCCTTCTCGGAAGGTAGATATGTAATACAACGTGTAACCTAGTACCAAGGGGTTATACTGTAAAATGTTAGGGGCATCCACTTACGATATACAGCAGACGCTGTATGCATTGCCTACAGAATATTTTTTAATTTACTATTTAGGGTTTAAAAAGAGCGAAAGCCGGTAGATGAACAATCATCTTCGCCCATGTTTTTAAGAAAGCTCTAAAGGGAAGTCCAACAGTAACGTTTCGATTTTATAGTTCGATTTTGAACAAGAAAACTAGTAACAGAGAGGAAGTGAGAAAGGCTAGTGAAAATGGCTTTGTAATTTTCAGGCTTTTTTTGTAACTTAGATTTTCTTCAAAAAAAATTATAGTTCCTGTTCGTGCTATACATTCTGTTAATCAAGGAAGCTATTCCTGCAGGTATCAGTTCTTTCTACAAATGCATGTACTCATGACGGTGTTGTGCGTTTCGTAAGATAGGTTTGTTCAAAGGAATTAGAAGTTCGACCACAGCTGGTCACGTTTTTAGGGGTGAACCTTTGTGGGATCGTATTTTCCCACCCTCATTGTCAACCTAACCATTTGTCCCCAACATTTGTTTGTTAACGATGATGTTTAATTTAAAATTAGGTTAGAAGAAGGCATAGAGTTGCTGTGTAGCACGGGTCGGTACCCTGAAGCAGCCTTCATGGCTCGCACTTACTTACCAAGCCATGTGTCAAAGTAAGTTAGACGTAATTAAACCCTTTGATAACAACAGTAGCCAGGTTCATAATTAAGAAAGAAAGAAGAAAACCCCCCTTTTTTTTGGAAAATGTTATTTTAAAACAAAATGGTGGAACATAAACGTGTCCATACCACTTGAGCCACTTGAGGTTATTTCCGGTTTGCGTATTTAAGCGACTAGAAGTATTTCTACTCCCCACTGAATGAGATGGCTGTCCATCGCAGGGCTACCCACCTCCCAGCACTAAATTCCCCAGTACCCATCAATTTTACACCTGAGTGGAGAGAGGCAATATGCTCTTATCCAAGAACACAACACAATGACCATGCCAGGGCTCTACCCCGGACCTGTTGACCCATAGTCCAGCGCACCCCCACCTCACCCCTCACCCCTCACCCATTATTGCCAATGCCCTGTTTGAAATGCTGCACTGGTGAATGGTACATGTCAACTGAAGTGGCTTGGTTCCATCACTAACTCCTAACTACAAACAGTGCAGAGAGAAAGTGGAGTTTGTCGCCTTTCAAACCTGTGTTAATGGTGAAGGAAGTGAATCAAGTTACTACAACTATTTTAACAACCTAATTCAGCTTTGATAACCCATTTTAAGTCGTGGAGTGTGAACCGTTTTTCAAGTTCTTCCAGATGTTTGTTGCTCAGTGGTGCATATTTGAATTTATGTCATATTTACATTGCATTTTAAATGATTCTATTAACTGCAATGCTTTTCAATGCTTGCGTGTTTTTCTTTTGCTAGGATTGTCAAATTGTGGAAAGAAGACTTAGGTAAAGTCAACAAAAAGGCTGCCGACTCTTTGGCGGATCCTTCTGAATACGAGAATCTGTTTCCTGAATTTCAGGAAGCTTTGCAGGCGGAGCAGGTGAGACTAAAAGCTGTGTCTACCGATTCTGCATTGTTTGTGTTTTGATTTTTTCTCCTTTGTTTATGTCTGTTTGTGTGCGAGTGTGTGTGTGTGTGTGTGTTTTTTTTTTCCAAGTGAGCTATTCATGGCTATCAGTAAATAGCGAATCATTTGTAAATATTACATCAGAGTAGGATTTTCCCAGACAAGAACATTGGTAACTCAAGATGGTTGGCCGCAGCATATTGGTGTAATACTAGCACGTTGGCTGCTCGAGTTACAACTCTGCTTTTTGAATCTCTATTACAACGATACACTGCACTCGTGAATGGAACAAGCCAACTGAAGTGGCTTGGTTCCATCACTAACTCCTAACTACAAACAGTGCAGAGAGAAAGCGAAGCTTGTCGCCTTTCAAACCAACATTAATGGTGAAGGAAGTGAATCAAGTTGCTACAGATACTGCGAATCAAGTTCCCCGCTATAAGCCTTCTTTTTGTGAACAAATCAAACGTCTTCTACTGATTGCTACAGCGCGCACTAGATATGAGGTTACTTAAGTGAATGCATGGTAACTTTATATATTCTTTGCTTATGTTTCCTGTAGTTTCTAAAGCGGGAAAGGGTTCAAATGAAACCTGCTGCCCAATACAAGCATGTGCCGGTAAGATTATCTTTAGATGTAGCTTTTTGCTTTTTAACACTAGGACTATATGCCTGAATTTGTGTTTTTCATATGCTGTATCGGTAGGTCCATTGCAGTCTGATTCGGTTTATTAAATTGGATTAAAAGGTTGCTTTGTGGGAGTTACAGCAGTCTTGATTACATGTAATTAGTTGCTATGTCGAGCTTGAACCCTATTCGGAGTTTTCCTCTCATGCTCGCAGACAAAACACTTGAATTTCTCAAAGCTTTCTCTTAACTGGGCGCGTAAATGGGAACTAGCAAATTTCTGGAGAGACCTGATAGTAACGCTTGAGGTTTCCCTGCGCGGGACTAGCTTCCCATTCATCCGTACATCTAGTCTCTTTACGGTACAGACATATGAAGTAGCTTAAGAATTCAGTGCCCCTTCGGTGACCTATATACTCAATGATGTGTTCAAATATACCGAACAAGGAGGAATACTGGGTGTTTATCTGTGCGTTGCTCTATTGCATTTATCAGAGTAACACTGATCGTGATGTATTCGAGGAGATGAAATCAGCCAAGGAAGATGGTAGCTTAGACTCTATTTTGGTAAGAGAGGCTTTGGTGTACCGCTATGTAGCTTTGTAGCCGATTGTTTGCGTTGGCATTGACCTCCAACTTCTCCTTGGGGCCTTTTATACATTTTACCCTTTTCTGTGTGGGAAGATTTTGTTTTTTTTTGACGAAACGTCCCACTTTACACGTAGATGACCTGCATAAGGGTTTTTGAAGTTACAGAAATGTGGTGGGAGGTTATTCCGAACTGCAAGGACATTTTATATGTGCTAACCATTTTGTGGAAATATTCCGAACGAGAGCCTTGTAGTTAAACCGTTCAACGTGAACGATTCCATGTTTAACGCTTTTAATAACCACTTGACATAGTTCTTAAGAGTTTTAAACATGCAATCGTTTGTGCTTTGTCCAGGGGTGCTTGCTCTCTCTTGCACCTAAGAAAGTAAGTGTTAAACTATGTAATACTTGTAACACTTAGAAATAATGAACTGTTTAAGAAGGAATCGACCAGAAGTTCGAGTAACAAGTGGACAAAAACTTTGTACCGAGTTTATTTACATCATTTCGCAAAATGTTTTAAATATCATCTCAAAAGAAATCATGTCTAACAACACCAAATGTCGAAAACAAATTTTGAAGTCCATATGAAACACTTGAAAGTACTGGTAAAATGACACTGGTTATGAAACTCAATTTCTCTGAACTTTGAATTTTTTTTTTCTCGAGTTCCCATGGGAAGTTGTTTTTGGTGTTATTTCAAGCAGCTATATATATCTTCAGCTGTAAGAAAATGTACCGGATAAAAAGGACTGTAAAGTACGTAATATCGTTCTGTTGCAAGGTTCTTGCCCACTAAAAACTGAAATTGCTCGATTTCCTATCGTATTTCGTCTTAGTACTCTTAACACTTGGAGCGGTTTTCAGCCAAAACCAAAGCACTGTAAATCCTTGAATTAGCGTCTTTGCTCAAATAAACGTCCCCTTCGAATATAGCGCCCCTCACAAGCAAGTCACAAGCAAGTGATTATCGACTCATTCAAGCACTGCACATTGACCGTCGCAACGGATGGTAGCGAAGATCTGCTGATCTGCTAATATAAAGCCAAACCAACCTTGTGCAACAGGCCTACACCGACAAAAGGGATTATATTGCGTAGTTCTTCAAGAAAGACAGGATCCTTCAGAGACTTCTAAGGGACTGACACATACACATATTGCGAAAAAAACCCGATCATATCTGACCACGATTTGGGAAAAATTAAATAAGCGCCTCCCTCGATTAAGCACCTCCCTCGAATAAGCGCCCCGGGTGCTAATTCGAGGATTTATGGTAGTTGCCTGCCTACTTTCGATACCGCTCTATAAGTATTGAACTATTTAAACTGCTTTGCTTTTGCCTTTGAGTTTTAAGAGCCACTGCCTGTAAATATGGAGAATCCAACGACAGGACCGAAAATTCGAATTTTCTTTTATTTCGTCAGAAAGACCCTTTAAGGCCAAGTTCAGACGCCGCACTTCACATGAGCGGAATCGAATGCTAGTGAAGGAGAACAAAAGATTTTTTTTCATTTGCATTCGATTCGGCTCATGTGAAGTACGGCGTCTGAACCTGGCCTTAGTGAACTATTTTCAGAAAGGAAACTCGTCTGTATTTCATATTCAAACAGTTTGTAGTTTACGCTTTGATCGTTTCTCTGAGCTATATATCATCTTGAAGTAAATACGCTTTGTCTACTTTTTGGTCACGATTTAATTTACATACCAAATTTCAACTGATTTGAGAGGATCATAACTCTTCTAGTATACGGATATCTCCACACATAAAAGGTTCTAAAGAAAGAGTTATGCTATGGGTATACGATATCTAAATGGCTAGTTTGGCCCGTGAAAATTAAGCACGCTCGACGAAAAACTGTGAAGGGCATTTTGACCAATTGCGTCATTTTTAGACCGACCATATTTACAGGCAGTGGTTCTTAAATCACGGTCGTTTGCAGCACTGAATTGATGATTAAACTTGGGCAACGAATGAATGACAAAATAACAACAAAATTGTGCTTTCTAATAGTCTTTCTAGTTTACCCTTTTGATGGCCAACTTTGTTTGTTTGTTGTAGTAGTTGTTGTTCGGCCTCGCATAATTTACGTGGGTTTCATTAAAGGTCACGCACCAAGCAAATTGACCGGCTGTGAAACTGGTTTTAGTTGCCCGCCGGTTTTGACTATCTTCAGATTTCTTAGTTGAAAAAGGTTTTCCTGCCTGTGAAAAGCGACTATCTTTCTGCTGAAAACCTATTGAAATCCTTGATAATTAAAATGTGTGCCACCTGCTTATTGTAGAAGTCGGTGGAAAGCCTTACATTTAGTGAGCCTTCTGCATCCAAACCAATTGAGCCCGCGACACCTTCATTTGCCGCCTCATCTGCCTCACCACACTCTCCGCTGCCTCCGGCGCCCGCCGGCAGACCGCCAGCGACCAACCCCCCAGCAGCGGAAAAGCAACCTGATATCGATAAAAAAGCTGCAGTTAAAGATGATAAGGTGAGATAAAAGCCCTTACAGAGTGCAACGCTTTGTCATTTGAAAGCGTTCTTCTGCTGAGAACTTCTCATTACTACAGGGAATATCTTACTGCATGAAACATGGAAGACTACCCTCTGCTATTAACACCCCATTACTGGTAACATCCCTTTATTAGAACTCTTATCTCTTGGAAGTAACGCCGTTATTAGAAAACGCGCTTCTACCAAAACACTCCGCTATCGGAACATTATCTGTTTGGAGCACTGAACACACCCTGCTGTTGGGAAGACCTACCCCTTATTGGGAACATCCTGCTATTTTTTACACCCTGTTATTGGGGTCACCCACGCCCTATCGAGAACAGTCTGCTGGAACACTCGGGGAACTCTCAACCACTCGAAGCACCCCTTATTGGAAATGTCCTACTGTTAAGAACGTATCGCTATTGGAAACACTGTTATTGGGATCTGTTGTTAGGAACTCCCTAGCTGGAAGCACCTATTGGAAGACCCTGTTATTTGCAGCACCTTACCATTGGAGAAACCCTCGTGAATAAAAGGTCTCATTTGAAATATAAGCCATCGAAACGATTCGCAAGTGCTTATCCTGTTCAATGCATAATAAAAAAAGAGTAAATGAAAAAAAAAAAATTTTGACAACTTCTGGGAAGGGTAGGTGGGAGATGGGCTGGAGGTAGAGGACCAGGAAATTTTCTTTATCGTGATGTGGTCCTTGAAGTACAGTTTCTTGTATACTCTTCATTTTCTGTGTACTGATACTCCTCCCACTCTTGTTCTTCTTTGTAGCCTCTTCTCTCTTGTTCGGTTAATATCCAGTTCGTTTCTCTTGTATTAACAGTTGAAAAAAATCCTGCTGTACCTTGCATTACAGGATGAAGAACTCGATGACGATTTCGACTTCGGGGGACACGACGATGACGACGACGACGTAAGTGGGCGCGCTTGAACTGTTGCTTGCTCGACGTCTAAATTCTCCCGACCATATCGATACATTACCAAGAAGACGTTTGACGAGAACAAAGATAATCATGTCGAAGAAATTATTGACTTATGAATCCTCCTTAAGGAAAAATATGGCGGCATATGGCGGCAAAATATGGCGGCAAGTACCATGCGAGTCTTACACAGCCCACAAAATTCAACGAACGCAATGTTTGTCCCTGTGCTAACGACATTGTGTATGCTAGGTTTGAAGATCTTAGAACGTTTCTGTACGTTTTTATGAGTGTTGTTGAAGTTTTCGCGCGGTTAGAATTAAGGGGAAATGTGCCAGTAGCCATTCATTTTTTTACCTACGGAGGATTGTGGTTTTGCATTACATGCATTTCTAACTTTAAGTCTTTATAAATAGAGGAATAAACGAAAGAGCGAACATCCTAACGAACAAACGAATTTAACAGCGAGCGAACAAAGTTACAAACTATTGAGAGAGCTATTGAGCAGTACATTCGTTACTTTACGACAATAATATCAGTTGTTTCCAGTTTTGTGCTTTGATAAGGCTACCTTGGGGGTTTCCCGGTTGTTATTGATTGTTTGTGTATTTTGTGTTCACAGGAAGACCTCAATATCGACGATGACGATCTTCTGAATGACGAAGACGACGATGAT